AATGTTATCTTTTCGTTACCCTCTCTGCCGACTAAGGATTTAATTTGTGCCATGGCTGTCGAAAGGAAGGCCCAGATATTTGTATAAAACAAAGTTAATGGAGGATTTGGCGGCAGTAGACTAGGAACTAAATAAGCATAGTCAATCACTGAACTAACTTGCAAAATATACATGAATCTCTTCATGAGGGAAGCGCCTACATTACTTGTTATTTATGCACTATAAGGATCGTAAACGTTCCATCATTTCTCGCTATTTAACACAGTTCTCAGGATGGAATAAAAATTCCGTAAGGAGCATAATCCACATCAAGATACTTGCGGGAGAGCGTCCATATGAATTACCTGTCTACCTAACCTGGTAATATAAAGCACTGTCTGGGTATGATCTCGCTCTGAAAAGGAAGGAAACACGTGTTAGAGGGCCTAGGATAACTCACTAAAACCCCTATTACACTTGATTGGCAGCTTACTGGATTAACCGTTGAAATTACAGATAGGGTTATGCAACTCACCCTTGAAGAAAACGGGAAAACATGACTTGTGTGAATAATTTGGTGGGATAATTGTTGTTGACAATTGCATTATTATCATTGTCTCTTCGTGTCACCATTTTGATATAATGAAGTAATGCATTACTTAACTGTGATCAGTTCGTTTAATATTATGCAATCGAAATATTGATAATTACAAGATAATTGAGAATGTAGAGAAAAAAAGAGGAAGAAGGATTGTAGGACTGTAGGATTAGGAAAATAGTAATAATAATGGTAATGATAATAATAAGTATACGTGAACATACAAAGCGCACGTGCACACATACACACACACACACACACACACACACACACACACACACACACACACACACACACACACACACACACACACACACACACACACACACACACACACACACACACACACACACACACACACACACACACACACACACACACACACACACACACACACACACACACACACACACACACACACACACACACACACACACACACACACACACACACACACACACACACACACACACACACACACACACACACACACACACACACACACACACACACACACACACACACACACACACACACACACACACACACACACACACACACACACACACACACACACACACACACACACACACACACACACACACACACACACACACACACACACACACACACACACACACACACACACACACACACACACACACACACACACACACACACACACACACACACACACACACACACACAAAAACGGGAAAAGATGACTTGTGTGAATAATTTGGTGGGATAATTGTTGTTGACAATTGCATTATTATCATTGTCTCTTCGTGTCACCATTTTGATATAATGAAGTAATGCATTACTTAACTGTGATAATAATAATGATAATGTAAATAACAATGATAAAATAATAATAATGATAATGTAAATAACAATGATAAAATAATAATAATGATAATGTAAATAACAATGATAAAATAATAATAATGATAATGTAAATAACAATGATAAAATAATAATGGATTCATGAATAATAATAACAATAGTAATGATACTACTACTACTACTAATACTAATAATGGTAAGCATAGATATAATGGTAATACCGGTAATGATAAGAATGGGAACAAAAACAATAGTATTAATATTGACAATAATATTAATAAAATAATAATAATCATACTAATATTGATGGAAATGACAGGAATAATATCAATGATATTAATAATGACGAGAATGATAGATAATGATGATGATGATAATAACATTAGTATTGGTAATGGAAACGGGAGAGTGAGAATAGAGAAAATAAAACAGTTCATTTATTTCTCATGTGACCGCACAGCTGAGGTACTGTCAGGGAGAGCTGCCTCGTGACATTCCGAAACGCCTTCACTCGATGCGGCGTTCTATTCAGGGCTATTGGACGACTCCTGCGTATACGTGAACATACATAGCGCACGTGCACACATACACACACCACACACACAATACAAACACATGTGTGTATGCGTATGTATGTATGCAGGTATATATATATACACACCCACACGTGTATGTGTACGTGTGTGTGCGTGCTTGTATGTGTTTGTACTCATACACATATATGTCTAACTGTATATTAAATGTGTGCGTACAACTATATATAGATACGTATGTACGTCCATGTGCATGCATGTAAGTATGCACATATACATGAATAAATGTGTCCGTACATGCAGCACAGAAACTTGGCTGAAGGTGTCATTATCAATGGAGACGAATAGAGCAAAAACTAACCTAACAGCAACAACAGCATGCACGGGTGGCGGTGATGGTGCCTCCCTTGACCCTGGCACCTCTATGCGGTATATAAAGCAAGGCTCGAGAGACCAGCGTCACTCACAATCGCCACACCCTCAGCCATAATGAAATTCGTAAGTCTCAGATATTTTCCAGATGTTAAAGAGAAACATTTCTCGATCCATCAGCTTTACAGCGAATCTATGATAGTATGCAATCCTTATATTAACTAAATAATTTGACTCTTTTAGTTTGCCATTAGGTTGTAAGAATTTTTCAATATTTTTCAGATATACAGAAAGGAACGATAACTTTCTCCGCATAAATTGTTTCTATTAATATGGAAATTCGGAAAACTCATTAACATGGTAATTTATTCAAACCTTCCAGTTTGTTTTCGCTGCAGTTGTATCAGTCTGCTTGGCTGACAAACTGCCCAGTCACTTCGGCTATGCCTCTCCACAACCTTCTTCAGCCTTCAGCCACAGGTCGCGACCTGCATCTCGCCCTTCCTTTTCTGCCCCAAGACCTGCTCCCCAGCCAACCTACTCTGCCCCGAGATCTGCTCCTGGCCCAGTAGTGCCCATCCTTGTGGACGACCGCGTCCACCCCGACGCAGGCGCTTACAGCTTCAACGTTGAGACCGGTGACGGCATCTCACGCCAGGAAAGTGGATCGCCTATTCCCGCCAAGGAGGGTCCCGTCACGGCCATGTCTGGCTCCTACTCGTGAGTGTCGCTGCTTGCCATTGCAATAGTCCTTTCGCAAGGCCTGTCCATTGTTCTTAACGCAGTGTTTATCATTTCATGTTTTTCATTTGCCAAACCCACCTTTTCCAGCTTCACCCTCCCTGACGGACAACAGTTTGAGCTTCGTTATGTGGCTGACGAGAACGGCTTCCAGCCTCAGTCAGCCTTCCTGCCCGTGGCCCCAGCCTTCCCTCACCCCATCCCCGCCCACGCCCTTGAGCAGATCGAGCGCGCCCGTCAGGAGGATGCTGCTCGCTCCCGCCAAGGATCTTCTCAGGCATACAGCGCCCCTTCCCGCCCCTCGCGCCCCTCCAACTCCTATGGCTTCCCTCAGTAATAAAGAAGCAATATTCGCCGATATGTAATATCTGACTACGATATTTATGAATTTCTCGATACTTTTTCAATAAAATATACATATAAAGTCTGTTTCATTAGAGTGCTTACAAGTAAATGTACTCTGATATGACTGAAAATCGCTTGCTTCAATCTTCACGTCTAGATATCCTAACACTATGTATTTTCAATTTCGTTTACTATTATCATATTCAACTACACAGTAACAATTATCCTATTGAGCATTATGATGATGTTAATTGTAATGAAAATGATAAAAGTAATACTGTAGTCGAATATAAAAACAGTGGTAATGATGACTGTGATGCTATTAATGACATAAAAAATAAAAGCAATCATGATTTTTACTATTAGTATTACTTTATTTTTGGCATTATTGAATTCATGATGCTGTGATGGTAATGCCGTGGGCTAGCTATTTTCATTAGTAGAATTAGGATAATAATCGCTGATATAAGTTTCTTTGTCATTATCATTGTTTTTGCTATTATTAGTATTAGAAGTTATAGTATCTGACAATGGTAAAAATTCTAATTACAAAGATTTCATCGAATTAAAGATAGCAATAATAACAATACAGAACACCGATGCTAATGACGCTAACATAATGTCATTAAAACTAACAGGATTGCAATTACGTCTTTTGTTACTAATACTATTATAGTTTTCATTAGTGCTATCAATGTTAACTACTATTATCTTTATCAACACTGTAGCTACGAAATGAATGACAATGCTGATCATAATAATAATAATGATATGAAGGATTATGTGTCTGCATTAGCGTTTGTTGTTTTATATGTGTTGGAATGGAAAGCTTTGGTCGTTCTCTGTCTCGGTGTCAATGTTTCTAAAGTGCCAGAGGAAAGAGATAAACAGGAAGACAGACACATATATCTATAGATACATAAACAGATAGAGAGAGAGAGGGGAGGCTTATTTATTTAGTACTTTAGATATATATAAAAAAAATCTAGACCTAAACGATTTCGCTATACCTTATATTTATAGTTTGTGCGTGCGTGTGAGTGTGTATGTGTCTATACATGTAGGCATATCTATCTATACAAATATATACTGTACACACACACATATATACACATATATTTACACATAAACAGACGCACGCATACTCATATATATATGAGTTTATTTACCACACGCACACACAAATATATATGTATATATATAAATATATATGTATATATATGTATATATATTCATACATATATATGTATACATACATACATACTCATATATATATATATATATATATATATATATATATGTATACATACATACCCACACACACACATATATATATAACATCAACATTAAGAATGATGCTAATATAAAATAATAACCTTAATGCTTGCATGCTGCTAATGAATATGATAACGGTAAAATGTCAAACACAATACGGCTTATCGTTACCATTAGGAGGATACGAATGCATAAAGTCGGTCAGCATGAAACACGAATGATGGTAATATTAAAGACAAAAATATAATCATGTCAAGGAGTGCACTTTCTCTCAAACATTAGAAACAAATAGATTTTTCCTGTATATTTTATTGAAAAAAGTATCGAGAAATTCATAAATATCGTAAACAGATATTACATATCGGCGAATATTGCTTCTTTATTACTGAGGGAAGCCATAGGAGTTGGAGGGGCGCGAGGGGCGGGAAGGGGCGCTGTATGCCTGAGAAGATCCTTGGCGGGAGCGAGCAGCATCCTCCTGACGGGCGCGCTCGATCTGCTCAAGGGCGTGGGCGGGGATGGGGTGAGGGAAGGCTGGGGCCACGGGCAGGAAGGCTGACTGAGGCTGGAAGCCGTTCTCGTCAGCCACATAACGAAGCTCAAACTGTTGTCCGTCAGGGAGGGTGAAGCTGGAAAAGGTGGGTTTGGCAAATGAAAAACATGAAATGATAAACACTGCGTTAAGAACAATGGACAGGCCTTGCGAAAGGACTATTGCAATGGCAAGCAGCGACACTCACGAGTAGGAGCCAGACATGGCCGTGACGGGACCCTCCTTGGCGGGAATAGGCGATCCACTTTCCTGGCGTGAGATGCCGTCACCGGTCTCAACGTTGAAGCTGTAAGCGCCTGCGTCGGGGTGGACGCGGTCGTCCACAAGGATGGGCACTACTGGGCCAGGAGCAGATCTCGGGGCAGAGTAGGTTGGCTGGGGAGCAGGTCTTGGGGCAGAAAAGGAAGGGCGAGATGCAGGTCGCGACCTGTGGCTGAAGGCTGAAGAAGGTTGTGGAGAGGCATAGCCGAAGTGACTAGGCAGTTTGTCAGCCAAGCAGACTGATACAACTGCGGCGAAAACAAACTGGAAGGTTTGAATAAGTTACCGCGTTAATAATCTTTTTCCGAAGCTAATGTTCCATATTAACAGAAAAAAAAAATATATATATATGTATATATATATATATATATATATATATGTATATATATATATATATGAGGAGTCTTTACTTGCTGTATATATGAAGAATATCTGAAACTTACAATCTTCATGATGACGGAGGGTTTGGTGGGTCGAATGGCTCAGAAGGTGAGTGATGTCGGTGTCCAGCGCCTTTCTTTATATACCTCGTGGAGGCGCCAGGGTCAAGGTGGCACGACACCGCTGCCTTCACACCTTGCTGCCGCCCGTCTGGTTTTTACTTTAGATGACTAGAGGTTGCGTCATGCGCGACCTGTGCTCACGCTGCTTCGATTTTCATACATTTTTTTCTGCACTATTTCTTTTTCTTTTTATTTCTGTGTCTACCAGCTGTTAGTATGAGAATCAATTATTCAGATTTGTTTATGCATATATATACACTGTATATTATTACACACAGTCTATGTCTATATACATATACACATGTACCTGTATACACACACACACACACACATACACCCACACCCCCATACCATCACGCATACACACACACACTGTCTCTCTCTATATATATGTATGTATACATATATATGGATATACATATATATATATATATATATATATATATATATATATATATATATGTATATGTATGTATACATATATATATATATACTGTATATATAATACATATATATGTATGTATATCTGTGTGTGTGCGTATGTTTATATTCATACATATAAATATGTCTATATGTTGATATACATATTTATATATATACGTATATATACAAGGTGACTTCAATAAGTTTTGAGACTTTTCGTAGGACAGTTATAATCATTCCACACTCTTCTAATTTTGATATGTCATTACCATATGTCTAATGAGATAACACGCCGGTTTTTTTTTGTTATTCCATGTTGAAAGAGACGGCTGTACGTGGAAGTTAAGCAAACCCTACTAACCCACGCTGGTCATAGCTGACTTTTTTTGCAGAATGCAGTCGGGACGGGAGGACACTTTGGAAGCGCGACACGCTATAAAATTTTGCGTTAAACTTGGAAAGAACGCTAAGCAGACTTGTGAACTGCTTCAGACTACTTATTGATTAACTTGCATGGGCAGAGCATCCGTGTTTCGTTGGCACAAAACGTTTAAGGGCGGCAGAGAGTCTGTGAGAGGCGATGAGATGTGTGGGAAGGGGAGGGAAGTCAGAACACTGGAGCTGGTGAGGAAAATTCGCACTTTTATGGATGAAGACCTTCGAGTGTCAATAGAGACAATAAGTAAACAGTTTGAAGTCAGTGTGGGAACTGTGCACAAAATTATTCATGGTGAACCGAACATGCGAAAGATTTGAGCGAAATTTGTCACAAGGTAACTGCAAACTGACGAACAGAAGGAAAGACGTGTTAACGACAGCAAGGAGATGGTCGAGCTTATCATTTCATATCCAAGAGTACTCATGGCTCTGGTGACCTGTGATGAAAGCCAGATTTACTGCTATGACCTGGAAACCCGACTGCATTCTGCAAAAAAGTCAGCTGTGACCAGCGTAGTTTAGTAGGGTTCGCTTAACTTCCACGTACAGCCGTCTCTTTCAACCTGGAATAACAAAAAAATGGTGTGTTATCTCATTAGACATATGGTAATAACATATCAAAATAACAAGAGTTTGGGATAATTATAACTGCCCCTACGAAAAAAGTCTCAAACTTATTGAAGGCACCTCGTACATATATATAGATTTATATTCATATATATACATAGATATACACATATATGTATATATATATGTATGTATATATGTAAACATATATATCAATCTATATACATTGGTATACAAATGTGTATATATATGTATGCATACATATACATACACATTTATATACATATGAAAATATATATATATATATATATATATA